TTTATATATATATTAAATGTAAGAATCAGGATATATACAGCCATATCTAATGGAGATCTATAAACAATATTCTAGTTCACTACAGTGGAAAGTGGCAATTTTGCATGCATCGTCACTGTCAAATCATCTAATTACGATGATTTTGAAAAAATAAACACAATAAATATGATAAAAAAAAGTAGTTGTAATTGTTTTTTATTGTGTAATGAATGAAAAATCTGCAATTATCTCTCATAATTTAATATTACGAATAATATACGAAGATATACTCCTTAAAACATTTGTAATATATACCGTACATATGCAAGTTTTATAATTTCATAAATTATTTCAATAATTTATTTAAAAAACAATAAATAAATACGAAAATTTAATTTATTCTTAATTAAAAACATCACATGTTTTATATTTAAATAAATAGTAATAGATAATTTAATGTCTTTGATTTTAATCAGCTTTAACTCAGCATTAACTCCATTCATTACAATTACAGAAAATAATTTCAAAAATCGATATATTTATTGATTATTAACATTAAATTTCTTCCAAGAATAATTGTATATTTATATTGATTAAATTAAGTAATTATAAAAGCTAATTTTCTATAATAAATTTCATTAAAAATTAATAAGGAAGAAAGGAAAAAGAAAAAACAAAAATACCGAATATTTGTATAAAAATTAAAATATTCTCTCCGAATTTTGAAATTAGATTAATATCAAATTTAAAATTTATATAAAAAAAATTTAACTATCATTTCGGACGGAAATATTTATAATATAAACACTAGGTTAAAAAAACAAGAAATCTAATAGCTTCATAAATCTTATCTCGGTAGCATTAGTGATGTGCTCTATCCGAAAAACACTTCTCGTCTAATTCAACTAACGATACACATTAAGAATTATTAATTATTAACAATCCCAAATCGTAAAATATTATATTAATTCTACACTTACTACGTTAACATTCCTCCGCTGATGTGTAAACACATGGTAATGTTTGGTAAATAAATTAAAAATCACATTTAATATAAAATCTTCCTAACCTTGAATTACAGCAAGTATTGATTGATGTGAAACAGCTACCAAACACCGAACTTCAGGTAAAACGATCTTGTGGATACTTTTGACGAAATGACAAAAAAAAGAAAAATCGCAAGTTATTTAATATTTCATTATGTTTTTTTCTAGCAGTCGTAACTGATTAATAACTCTGTCACAAATTCCAAGATTTATCGCACCATATTAATTAATAATTTGTACAGATTCCGACAGTTTGAAGTACACAAAACATCCGCTAGAAAAACCCCAGGAGTAAAAAATTAATTCGCAGTTTTAATGTTGAATCGAAGTAATGAAATATCAGGAAAAAAGAAAAAAAAAACTTCAAATAATAATTTTTATTCAATTAAACGTGTTAATATTTTTCTACTGTGTATTAAAATTGCCAGTAAGCAGGTAGAAAGTCTCGTACACGAGAAGCAACGAAATCGTTAGACTTGATTAATCATGTACATAAAATTTATTCTGCACAATAATTGTTTAAATATACTTACTAGCAATTACTTTTTTTTTATTATATCCGTATTTAATTATATTAAAGATTTATTTCTTACGTTTGTTTCATTCATTTCTCCTCTATAATATGTAAAACAAACTGTAAACAGTAATTATATGTAATTATGGGGTCATTATGGAATTACAATTTTTAAAATACGTTTAATATTACAAATATGTCCTTGTTTATTTAAGAATAGAAAACATTAAGGTACCAGAGACGGAACATTTCCAAAAATTCCCGAGGTTTTTGGCCCAACCGGATTCTGAGAGCGGTAGGCCAAAACCTTAACCGCTCGGTCATCCGGCTGTCAACACCAAATATTAGTTTTAATGTTGATTACATTGACACTAATTTTATAAAAAATTTCCTAAATTTAAAAAACCCAGATAAAGGAAGAGATATAACACTCCAAATCCATCAAATGACTCGTTAAAAATCATACGAAGCTATTTGAAATGCGAAAATGTTGAAAAATACATTTAACATAAGACAATATACGAACTATAATTTATAAGATTAATTGAATAATCCACCTTAAATATAATTAAAAGAAACACTGAAAGGTTTGTAGGGAGAGATTAAATTGTAATTAAATCCAACTTCGAATTACAATTATATTCAAAACTTTTCCGAGTAATTTTGATGAAGCATTTAATGACCGTTAACAAAAAATATTAAAAAACTTATGAATCCAGAATTTTTCTTATTCAAATTTCAAAAAAATATTCTGTATTATGAATTTTTCTGAGATTACACACAATTTTGAAACATTAAAAGTGCAACAAGGGAAGCATATAACACTTAAAATCCAATAGATTGTCAGAGTTAAGAATATTACGTTTTAAATGTACAAATATAACTGAATAATAGTTAAATTAAATCTTATAATCTTAATAACAAGATCATACTTTAATTAAATGAATTATTTTTCTTCAAAAGTTTAAAAAAATACATTCAATATTAAGAATATTTACGATCACGTATGATTTTGAAACACGAAAAGAGCAGAGAAGCATATGGACACTCAGAATTCAACAGATATTGTTATATAATATAAATATGAACAATTTTTAACATAGAATATAATATAAAAACATCACAAATTTCGAGAACGATCCTAAAAAAGTAAGATTTAATTATAATTAAATTCATTACGTTATAAACCCTTCTCAGAATGATTTTAACTGTGCATTTAATCATCATCAAATGCACAAACAAAAAAACATATAAAAAAAAAACCATGTATCAGAAATCTGTCTGGATCACTCCGGAGTGTGAATTTTAATTAGGAGAATTAATCCTTCAGTTCAAATTTCAATAATATAAATCTCTCTGAAATTATATATGGCTTTGAAACATTAAAAGTGTGCAGAGAGAAGCATATAACACTCAAAATTCAATAAATTGTTCAGGTTCACATTACAATGTTACTTTAAATATAGACATCTTGCAGAATACATTTACGAACTGTAATAACTGAATTGTACCGTAAAATAATTAAAAATCTTAAATTATTCTAAAAGTTCTCCTTGATATTATTAATCAAAACAGCTTATTAAATTCAGCTCCACATTAGCTCTTTTGAAACCATTCTAATCAACTATTTAATAATCATTAAATGTACGGATACAAATCGGGATATTTTAAGTTAGAAAATTATTACTTTTTTTTCCTAATTTATAGATTTCAATAATATATTTACAAGATTACACTTGGCTTTGAAATATTAAAAATATGGAGAGTGAAGTACATAACAGTCAAAATCCAACAGATTGCTAAGGTTAAGAATATTATAGTTTTGTTTTAAATGTACAGATATTACGGAAAACATTAAAGGATAACACTCGAATCAAATCTTAGTATTTAAAAAACATGAAATATTTTCGGATATCTCCTTCGTGTAATTAACATAAACATCCCACAAACTTACATAAAAAAATAAATAAAAGTTAATTATAATTGAATTCGTTTTCAGGTTATAAGCACATTTAACTCATAATAATGAATATAATCAAATATTTAATGATCAATAAATGTACAAATCTATTTTAAAAATATATGAGAAATTTGCCTGAATCATTGTGGAGTGAGAATTTTAAGTAAAAGAATTACTACATTTGTCCAAATTTCGGTATTACGTATGGTTTTGTAACATTAAAAGTGTGGGTAGAGGAGAATTTTAATATATTCAGAATTCTATAGATTATATTACTCTACATCTGAACGAAGCTGTTTAAATGGCAGAGACTATCTAATTAATGTGTGAACAATATTAATTGAATAAATTCTTAAAATACTTACAAAATAAATTGTTTTTATTAATTAAATCAAAGAATTTTCTAAAAAAATCTCATAAAAATTACAGAGATTAAATCATAATTAAATTCATCTCTATGTTACAAATACACTTAAACCCATTTGAATCAAACATCTAATGATCAATATCCATTAAAAAAAATATAAAAATAATTCAGAAATTTGTCTGAATCACTAAGGAGCGAGAATTTCGAGTAAGAAAATTACCCAAATTTTGGTATTACGCACGGCTTCGGAACATCAAAGGTGTGGAGCGAGGAGCATTTTAATTAATGTTCAAAATTCTAGATTGTTCACGTTCATATTATTATAAAGTAGTTTTAAATGGCAGATACTATGTAAATACATTCAGAAACAATAATATTTGAATCAGATCATAAGATATTTATCAATTAAATCATGAAAACCTAAAAAAATTACAGTAAATCATAATTAAATCCGTATCTACAAACCGCAATAATATACAAATCTATAAAAAAATCAGAAATTCAAATCACCACGAAGCGAGAATTTCAACTAAGAAAATTACCCAAATTTCGGTATTGCGCACGGCTTCGTAACAAAGAGAGAAGCATTTTAACGTCCAAAATTCGACAGATCGTTCATTACCGACGTTATAATACCGTTTTAAGCGCTGAATACTACGTAAATACATATAGGAACAATAATACTTGAATCAAACCTTAATTAAATAATGGAAATCTGTAAAATTAGTGAGTAAATCATATTTAAATCTCTTTTAATCACACAATTATGATTAAAAGTATAAACTGAAGAAAAATATACAAAAAATAATAAAAAAAAAAATGCCAGAAAACCTTCACCATTGATAAAAGTGTATAAACATGTGATAATTCTTATTAGATATATAAAATTAATGGAATTAAATGATGAAAAATACAATGTAAATTTGAAAAAAATGTTACTTAATTGGAACCATGTTTAACTGTATCTATTGATTAAGCAGTTATTGGTTATTACGAGCGAATAACGCTCCATCACGATAAATAAACCGTAAAACCGCTTATAAAATGCCACTATGGAGTATAATATAAGTGATTTATATTATAAAATTTCTTTTACCTTTCAGTAAAATATACAAATATATAAAACCCATTTACCTTTAATTAATGAGTTTATTCCTTAAAAATGACGTTTTAAGTCGTTATATACGTTATAATTAATCGATAATTCCTTATAAAACGTTATCTTCCTTTCGATACTGTAAAACAATTTTCACCAAACGACCAAACTGGCTACGGCGGCCATCTTGGGATTGGTTTAGAGACGATTTTTTTTTTTTTTTTTTTTTTCTTACCTTGAAAATTTAAAATCTGTTTCTTAAAACATTTTCCCTGTGCTTGCTTTCCATAGAATTTAATGATTTCGAGTTTAAAGACGATTTTTTTTTTTTTTGGTTTTGGTTTTGTTTTTGTTTTGCTTGTTTTGTTAGTTTTCTTTTTCCATTTTCATTTTCTTTCTCATTGTAAAAAATCCTTACTTCTTAAACTGTCCTATTTCCATACACTTTCTCAAGATTTTCGTGTTAAAAACCAGTTCAGTTTCTTCCCTCTTTCTCTCTTGTTTTTCTGATGCCGATTAAATTTCTCTTTTAACATTTAAATTCATTCAGTTTTTTCGAATTGCGTGTTGTTATTTTTTTTATAAAAGTAATTCTACATGTCATAAAGGTTCATACAAAATTATCTCTAATTTATCANTATTAATCTGTGGTTAAATTGTGATTGCGTTATTAACGTGCGGGCCGATAGATAGTACGAGTTGCGGGCCGCCATTTTGGATTATGTAATATAGGCTAACGGTGACGTGTTATGGCTTTGTAAATGGCGTATGGCATCGAATCAGTTTTAATAAAAGTAGAATGGAAAATGTTATAAATATTGATTAGATTGCCACATCTGAATTGATTTATTTTACAAAACAATGCTCCGATATTTCTTTCTTTCTTCTTCAATACAAGTTGATCCCCCCATAACACTGTTGATAATTCCGTTTTATATGAATTCCATGTTGTACGAGTCACTTAGATTTTACAAATACGTGTGCCGGGCTGTGAATGGCTCATGTATTTGTAAAATCTAACTGACTCGTACAACATGGAATTCATATAAGACCTGTTCGTCATGCTCCTGCTTCAAGAAATCGTCGTCATTCGCGAGTGGGTTTCGAATATGGATTTCTAGTGCAGGCGCATCGTGGTTTGTGCTCGCTTGTTGTGGAATTACGTAAAGAATGATCACATTATCGAATTAACAATAGTGGTTCCTTCCATATTATTTTTCAGTTGTTTCAACAAGCTTCCCACTTCGTTTCATTCCTCCTCTAAACGGTGTTATAAGGTATTTAATTAGAGAGATGGCGACTCGATTCTGATTAGAATCGTGTCTTCAATGATCTTGCAATAAGTTATTTGTCCCCATTTCTCATCGTATTTTACATGGAAGAATTTCTCTTACGAAGAAAAAATAATAAAAATTGCGAAGATTATGGCCGTGAACGTTGAGACAAGAAACACTAGAATGATCGAAAGACGTAATAATTTCCTGCTTTTGTAAGTAGATATTAAGATATTAAAGAGAAAGTAATTGTATTCAATAATGAACAAGAGAGAGAGCCTCTCATATATCCAAAACTTGTTGTATAGCTATACGTTTTTGAAGGAAGAGGGTATTAGCTGGTACGCAACAACTCGGCTCATATGACAACATACAAAATGTTTGTTGTATGGGCATTCACCATAAGTGGCCTCAATGTAATATATGTAAAAAAAAAACGTTGTTTGCTAAAGGTTAAAATGGCCACCCAGGCTTATGTGTTTTCGTCTTAAAGAACAATCTATGACACGCGACGTTGAAAGGAGAGTCAAGTGGACCGGGTATAATCAAGGTAATAGTCGTAGCGTTAGCTCTAATCTCTTCACAAAGTACAAATTTTTTATCCTTGTCCGAAACGAGGAGTTTTAAATCGTTGCCAGTGAGAAACTGTGCAAGTGTTCTACCACGTTCTACCCAAACTTTCTCTGGATTCCAAAAACTTGTTAGGAGGAAGACACCTATCACAGTCAAAAATCATGGTGCCATCTTAACTCCTGAGGAAGCAAGAGACAACACTACAGCAAATGCCCAAATGGCTGGGTGGTTAGAGTGGATGCCTACCGTCTGGGAACCCGCTATTGAATCCTGCCGGGTAAAAAACCCCAAGCTGAGGCTTTGACCACTTTGTCCATCTGGCTGTTCTGCTTTTGTTGACTATTTCCTCAAAAAATTTTGCAGAGGGTCTTGAAATTAGTTATCCTATAGATGTTTGCTTCATTTTCTTAAAATATAAGCCCATCAATAGCAGAATGGCTAATACTACGAAACAAGCAACGGGTTCGCGCCTGACAAAGGGAATAGAAGAATCGAGTTTTCAGGGTTTCCTTCAACTAGATAGGAATCAGTTTCTTATTGAAACTCTTTTCGGGAGGTATCACCTCTTGACAGATCTCGTACGTGTTTCGTTGCTGTATTCCATCAAACTTAAATTAAACCTTCCAATATTTGCCCTTTTATTCCCGAGACGCAAAGGCAATCAGTTTTCCATGCCATGCATGACCTTTCGCACCCAGGAAGTAAAGCCACGGTGAAGCTAATAACCGATCGGTTCGTATGGCCGGGCATGGAGGCTGACTGTCGCAAGTGGACAACTACGTTCATTCCTTGCCAACGCGTCATAATTACTAGACATACTAAAAGTCCAATTACAAGCATCCCCGTGGAAAACAAACGTTTCTATCACATCCACATCGACCTTATTGGTCCGCTCCCTCCTTCCGGAAATCATTGCTATTGTCTCACTATGATCGACAGGTATACTCGTTGGGTTGAAGCAGAACCACTGCAGAATATAGAGGCCGACACTGTGGCTAAAACCTTATACCGAACGTGGATAGCTCGGTTCGGCGTTCCAGGGGTCATTACTACCGACCAAGGACGCCAATTTAAATCACGTTTGTTTCGGTCTTTGGCTATTCTAATGGGTTCCAAGCAAATACATACATGCTCTTTTCATCCCCAGGCTAATGGTATGATCGAGGGATGGCATTGGATATTAAAGTGTGTCCTGAAAACCTACTTAACAGAATGATGGACGGAGATACCCTACCGTACTACTTGGGTTAAGGAAAACGTTCAAGCCTGACCTACAAGCAACGTCCAGTGAATAAAGTGTCAATAAGGAGGGTGCTGTAAATGTCATGGCGGCGTTATATGGTAGAAGGCAAATGTCGCTACCAATATCGATTAAGTAGTGACGACGTGAGGTTGGATCGTAAACGAAAAGGCGGCTTGTGTTGTTAATTTGGAAATCACATAGCGCCACGTGTGATTTCCGAACTAGTTTCTCTGATCTCGGAATTTGCAAGGGGCCTTACATTTATTCGCTTGATCACCGAACTTCGCGTGATACCAGCATAGGTCTTTTGCCTGGGGTCGAACAGGTGTCTGCGAACGCCGACGATTCCGGGGGTGTCTATAATCGCGTGATTGTCTGTTGCTGGGCCTTGCTAGGCGATTAACTTGCTCTGTTAAAATCGATTTCGTTTGGCATTTTAAGACAACCAGGGGATACCTACTCAGCAGAACAGCAAAAAATATGGAACAGAAAACTCCACTTACCCGTGTTAGATGACTTATTCTGGCAAGAGGTTGCCGACACACAAATGTGGGGACAATTTCGCCGGTTAGGAGTGGCGAGAGATTCACCTATCCAAGAAGCGTCGTCTATCGTAGTCGCGGAATTTATTCCGTATTATCCACTGAGGGAACACAATGCAGTACTAGTAAAGATCTTGTTCTTTCTTTGGTGTTCTTTGGTCCACAAAAACTGTCTTTATCAGAAGGCTGTAAACGTGAATTAGTTAAGTCCACGACCACGTTTTAAACTAAAACAACATTTATTTACAACAATCCTCGAGTACACTTGAAAGAGAGCTACACGTGCTCATGGCAGCGATCACCCGACAAGAAGAAGAAGCAACAATACCCAGAATCCACTCTGGGAAAAACCTAGTCCCCGTTTTTCTATCCGAGATTCACGGGAAACTCGTAGAGGAGTGGCGCCATCTCACCAGTCCGTGATTTGTCGCCGCAGCTTTATGCTATGGGCATATATGAACATGTTTCACATGTTCCAGTTAACGCCCATCTTGGGATTAACTGGAACACGTGGGGGTTTACTGGATATATATGAAATGTTATGTTAAATGGCTCCATAAGTAGAAAAATCAAAAGCAAATGCATAACTTTTAGCAAGTTCGTCCTAGTAAAATAGACAAGACAGCTTTAAAAGAATGTCAAGTTTGCTTACATTGTTTTAAAGCTTACATTTACCCCTTTTTCATATGAAAATTAAGATTTTTTTTCTCTTCAGCCATTTGAAAGTGAAATCCTCGTCCAAATGTGCAGTCACTATATTTGCAAAACACTGTATATTGTTTTTAGTTTTTCCGGAAACCTCTGTTAGGATAAAGTCATCTACATTACATTCTTTATCGAATAGGCTTGCTGCATCTTCATCGTAATTGTCAACGTCGAGGAGATTCAAAGAGGAATCATTTTTGCAGGGATTTTGGCAGTTCACTTGACTCTCATTCTAGAGCAATTCTAATGCCAAGCATTCCTATCCTTTATTTACATTTGCACATTAGACTTAGCTTTCTTCTTAGCACCAGCTCGAGCTTCTTCTTCAAGTTTTGTCTTTATCAGTGTCCGCGAAAACTCTGAGCGATCAAGAGAAAAAAAGAAAACAAGGCATAGAGCATAGCCTTTACAAATGTCATATAGGGTTGTATTATAGCAAATTATAGTATGCTACATCCACACACCTTTCTTCTGTTTCTTTGGTCTTTTCTGGATCCATCTTTTTGCTAGGGACAAATCTTTTCAGGTGTTATTGTGGTTCCTGATGTGCTAGACCGATCTCTTGTTGAAAGACCTTCCATTTGTGCTGCGACAGGCACAAAGGTGGAGTTAATTAACTGAACCGATCCACTTATACCCAACTACTCCTGGCTCAGTTAACCCCACTATAACTTCCTCAGAGAAACGTGTGCCACAAACATTGGTGCGTTTAACACATATTCAGTCATCGAAGCTTATTTGTGTGACTTGGGCCTTCTAGAGGAAATCAATGACACTGAACAAGTAATGATGGTAAGTAAGCAGAAGTAATGGAAAGCAAGGGGCTAATTAATCTTTCTACCCAGTTAACCCTGCTCTCTCCTGTACTTTACATTAAAGTTACAATCCTATTGCCTTTCTTATTTTACTTTTAGTTCAAATTATTTCATATAAAACGGAATTATCAACAGTGTTATAGGGGGGGTCGACTGTAATACTTCTATGCAGTTCCGTAACTAGGGCGGTGTCAGGGGTGCCCAGGCACAGGGAGCAGATCCTGAGGGCGCAGAAATGACCTGCACCAAGTTTTCGGTCATACTGTTGGGGCGTAGTTACAGAAGCTCGCACCGGGCGTATAAAAAGGCTAGTTATGGCGCTGCTTCTATGCATATTTTGAAGTAATTCTGTAAGTTTTTTAATGTTTTATTGTCGGGATTTTATTGTAATTTATCTATTTTATTTATTGTAATATACATTTTTTATAACATCGTGGTAGTAACACTACTGAAGTGGAGCCAATTAACCCGAAACACGTATGTTATGTGTACAGGAAAAACTACTACAGGTAATAAAGTAAAGATTTTTCTGATTATGAACTCTTCCTTGGGTTTATTACCAATACACCGGTTACCATCCTATTAATCCAAATGTTAGGGAGGAAACTTGCCGATCTGGAGATCCGAAATAGAATTCAGACGAGTTAAAAAAAAGATTATTGTGGATTCAGCCGCCCGTTATGGGCCTGGCCGAATCCACAATAATCTTGCTAAAAAGGCCTTCTCATTTCTCATATGGTGGAAAGCGTTTTAAAAAAAAAAACCGCTACGTTGTCCTCGAGTTTCGGGCCACGCGATAAAGACCGCTCTTGCTTTCGCTTTGCAAAGTGTAATAAATTTATCTATCATATTTATTTTAATACAAAGTCGATGTTTACAAGAAATCTACCGTGTTTTTGTAAAATAAAAGTGAGCCTCACTAATAAAAATGTTTAAAATTTGAATATTTTTATCGCCATAAAGAGACCGGGTTCGAATTCCGAGCCCATATACCGAAGTCCCTTATTAAAATTTTCACAAATAATTGCCTTCAAAATCGTGATTTTTTTGTTTTTTTTTTTTAAGTTCTCCGACCGATTGTGGGTTAAATTCTCTACAATAAACAAATCGAGGTCGTCCATAAGCGCCGTGTTACGTATTACAAAACACAACGACCTAATTAAGAAACGAGGCGGTATTGAATTAAAAAAAAAAAAACATTCAAACAAATTAAACCCAAACTTATATTTTATTACAGATTAATCAACCCGATACGATTTTACTATTAAAAAAAATAAAAATTAAAAAAAAGCATCGGCTCATTTATTTTTATTTAAATAAAACATATCGAAAAATGCCAAACGATATATGTCACTTCGGACGAGACGGACACCCCCTGGTGTCGGTAAACTGCAATAAATAGAACAAACGAGAGATGTTTTAAAAGATTTTCTTTACAAATTGAATTTTTTTTTAATATAAAACTCCACCGCAGACATCTTTAAGATTTATTTAATTATGTTTTCTTCTTAATTCCTGGATTAATAAAGACGTCATAGATATGGTCCTGGACTTAACTCAAGTACTTTAAAAGTAATTGTCCCACAGTTGGTGAGTAAAAGTTTACAAAGTCATAAATAAAAAAAATGTAAAGTAAAAAATGAAGTTATTTAACATTTACTCCTGTTAAATATTATAATATAAGTTTAATGTGAATGAATACATTATGCCTGTGACCTATGCAAGTGGAATTAACCTAAATAAGACAATGTTAAGTAATCTCAAGTACTAAATTTAAATCTCAATGATATGCTAATTAACAGCAGTGAATTCATAAATATCCTCTTATAAACTGTTTCCTGGGACATATGCATTGTGATTTGAGTTGTTTCTATGCTCCGAGGTGGAAAATTACTTTGATGTTTGTATCTAACCGACTTGTTTTGCGTTTGTTTGTGGAATTTTTAGGTTCGGGCATCGACCGGAGCGGCCGTAGACGGATTTCTGAGGAGGAGGCGGCGGCGCGCCTGCGAGTCGCGTACTGTTCGACACGAGACGAGACAAAATGGATCTACGGACGGGCGCGATGCCTGGTAGAGCGGCTTCGACGTGGCTGGATGAGCCGACCGACGACGGTTGATTACTTTCTGGTACTGGGATGAATTATATAAACGTAGACAAAATACTCAAACCAGCATATATTACTTATACGAATGTTTATAACAGACATCCCCCCTATAACACTCTTGATAATTCCGTTTTATATGAATTCCACGTTGTACGAGTCACTTAGATTTTATAAATACGTGTGCTGGGCTGTGGACAGCTCACGTATTTATAAAATCTAAGGGACTCGTACTACATGGAATTCATATAAAATGGAATAATCAACAGTGTTATAAGGGGGTCGACTTGTATATATAATTTAGAACTAAATGGAGAAATTAAAATCAAATATGCTTTTACAATTCGTAATTTGCTTGTAAAAGTGTATTCGATTTTAATTTGTCTGTTTAGTTCTGCATTATATGAACCGCTTACTTACCAAATCGATTAACTGCATAAAACAAAAGGTATAAAAATTGATATAATTTATATTTTAAAATTATTTTTGAACTTTAAATTTAAATAAATGTTGTAGAATGTATTTTTATATACTGATACAGAAAACTGTAGTATTCATTTTTATATACTGTTATACACATATTAAAGCATAGCTTTAATATAACGATATATAAAATTAGTTATGCAAAAAATGTAAAAATAATAACAATCATGTTAAGGATTTACAAATGGAGCTAATTGATTTGGTCTGTGAACTGCTCATATCTACCTGAAGACGTGTGTTATAAACAGCTGTAAATGTTTGTGGAGGTAACACACCTTTGATTGACGTATATCATGGGGCAGTTGAAGGTGTGTTATTGCAATGTATTGGGTGTTGTTAAGATGTTTGTGTTTGTAGAGGTAATAATTTGAAGTAATATATCCTGGTTTTGTTGTTTGTCTGTGTTTAAAGAACCGATGACATTTGAAGTGGATGCTTATTTTTTGAGCGGCTTTTTTTTGCCTGCCATATTTGAGCGGCTTTACCAGGCAGCCTGCTTATTTGTATGTCTGTGTTTACTCTCGTCTCGACTTTGTAAGTAGTAGCCCGTTGGCACGTACCTACTTCTTTTTGGAAACGTAGCTGCTTTATTAGGCTACATGCCCAATGCTTTATGATGTATATTCGAATACAAAGATCGTTTAAAATGCCTCTTCTTTGTTGAGTTAAGGAAAAATAATATGATAAATTTTCAAAATTTTGTCGAAACTGTAAATTATTTCTAGGCAGATTTCAAACAACGGGATAAGTTAATATCTGGATTGAAGTGCTTTTGGATGATGGACAAAGTGTTCAAAGACCATACAGTGATTTATAAACTTATTTATTTTGTGTTGTTGTTTTTAATTAGATGTGATGACTTATATTATGGTGGTTTTAATATTATTTTTGGTGGAAAAAGATTCCTGTCAAAATCTAAGGCAATGTCTATGCACAGTGGTGGTTTAGGTATTGATAATGTATGCTTTTGCTAGATCTGTGCTTTTAAATACCAAATGATCAAGAAGCTTTTAAATACCTTGGAAATTATGAATACTTGCTTGTTACTACTTGCATTTGATTTAGTAGTCGGAATAGCATAGTGGTTAGGATACCAAATATCTAAATCTTACAAAACCTTTAAAATCAGTTTATTTTATTATATCATCTAACGTTTTTGGTCAATTGACCTTCATCAGGAATGAATCGAAAATTTATTCGATTTATACTGAACGATTTATAATTGGTTTCCAATTATGGAATGATTTTAACTTCATAATTATTAAAAATGTTCCATAATTGGTTTTCTTTGGTATAAATCGAAAATTTTTTCGATTTATTCCTGATGAAGGTCAATTAATTGACTGAAAACGTTAGATGCTATAATAAAATAGACTGCATTTTAAAGGTTTTGTAAGATTTAGATATTGTTTGTAAGTGCAGTTAGAGAAGAGAACAAAATATCATTCATCATTATCGAAGAAGAGATGATAATCAAACAACCATTGGAATGTTTGTTTAAAAACTTTGAATCTGTTATTTCCAAAGTTCTTAATACCGTCTCCATTCACAGGAGAAAGAATTACCATCCTTATGGTTAAGTTTTTTACTTTAAAGGCAATTTGTAAATCACCAACTGCTTTGTGTTTTAGAAATTCTAATTAGATCTTTAAACTAGAATTCCAAGTATGGCTAATCACCAAACGTATGCCGTAAATCCATCGGGCTAGTTTTAAGGCTAATTACTAAATAAATTACGAGATTAATTTGGCACTAGAGGTAAGCGTTAGGCGCCATTTATTATTAATATTAATAATTATAAATAAATTAATTAATTTAAATAATTTAGAACTGCTGGGAGAAAAAATCGGCCCGGAGCGGGACTCGAACCCACAACTCCTGCTTACCGTGCAGATGCGTTGCCAGTTACGCTACCCGGACCTTCGGTCTGATCTCCTTTTCCAGCATATAACTATGTAACCATCGACGGTTATTACGACGGGTATATGTTTATATTCCAAGTATGGTTCGATTGTTTTTTGTTCTGGAATATCTCTGATGACGGTGGTTTAACATGATCAGAAATGTTTGCAATTTTGAAAACTAAATTTAGTGCTGTTATGTTTGTTTTTTTATGATTTTAATTCTGTTTGTAATTTCTTTTTATAAAAGCATCTTGTAAATATCAAGTTGGAAGCCATTGTTTGATAAAATGAATAAGAAAGCACCCTGCTTAAAGTAGTTTTTTCCAAGTTGAGATCATCTAAGTTCTTATTTTCCAATGCTGCTTAAAATTACAGTAGTACCTTGACTTACACTACCCAGACTTGCGCGAACCCGGAGTTACGCGATTTTCAAATCTTGTCAATTTGCCTTTTGTTTGAGCACCACGCAACTCTTGATTACTCACTCCCCCCACACTATTGTTCGCTTACATGTTCGGACGTGTCGTGCGGAATCGACACATAGTTACAATTTATTTTGTGTTATTTATTTCTGTGTTTATTATATCTACGGAGATTTGAGAGAGACTATGTGGTGATTTCTTGTAACCGTAAACGAATCAAAAGACGAGATAAGATTAACAAGAACATTTATTAGCTTACATACATCCGACTTGGATTTTACACAAATTGCGAAATTATACCCCGACTTACGTGAATTCAACTTATGCAGTTATCGCTCGGTCCCACCTATCGCGTAAGTTCGGGGTATTACTGTACTATCTATTTTGGATGGTAGAGATGGGAAGGTATTTTGCATGCCATTGTAAATAAGCTGAATTCAAATTTGTATTAAAGTCATTTCTTTGTGGGTGATAGACCTAGATATATTGAATTTCAATCTGTACAATCATGCTAATACCATTATAATTTGTGTTCACACATATTAGAATGCTAATGACATATGTTAACTCAATTGAACATCAATCTTGAAGCAAGATTCAAACTTGATCTGACAAATTACAAAATGACAGCTATAAGTGACAACACAGGTGTTGGTTTGCCTAATATTTTCTTATAATTTAATTATTAAATATTTTTAATATTGCCTATATCATCATTAATAAGTAATAATTTTGAAATATATTTTTATAAATGATATCTAATTTTTGTAATTATTTCTGATACAAAATTTAATCTGTACAAAAAAAATTGATTATTTAGGCCCATAATAAAAGTAATGACTAGGTTCATCACACAAATATTTTCTAATTAAAGAATGAGAGAAGTGACTATCAGCATTAAACGAATTTTATTACTTATAACATCATTGGACTTTCAAAATTTTATAAATGTCATCTTCAGACAAAGAAAAGGATGTAATTTAGAAACATTAGAATAGATTATTTCTTCTTTAATTGATTAATTATTCATAAGTGGTTGCCATTTCCTTCTTATTTAATGCTTTCCATTATAAAATATGAAAATATAATAATTGGTTGATTTTTTAAAAATATTTTTCAATAAAAATACGTAGGCTGTTTTTTTTTCATTCTCCGATGGTCCATGAAAGAAAAAGACAAGCGTAAATAACAAAATAAATTTATTACCAAAAGTTAGGTACAAACATGGTTAGTTTTCGACATAATCACCGTGAAGATTGAGGCATTTGTCATATCTGTGGATGAGCTTTTCCATCTTTTTGTCATAGAATGTTGCCGCCAGTGACTTGAGATGAGTCCTAACATTTTGAAGATTGTCATTAGTCTTGAACCTCTGCCATCCTAGCCACTTTTCCTGTTCAGGAAAGAGGTGGAAGTCACTTGGTTCTAAATCAAGGCTATATGCTGGGTGTTTAAAGATGGTGAAGACTTCCACCTTTCAGATTTCTACCCATCTTGAAACTTTTTAATGTGTACAGACTTCCACCTCTTTCTTGAACTGAAAACATGGTTAGAAAGGTAGAGGTTTGAGATTAATGATGATCTTCAAAACAACGTTGTTAAGGCCATCTCAATTCACTGGCGGCAACATTCAATGACAAGATGGAAAAGCTTGTCCCCAGATATGACAAATGCCTC